TCCCATACACATTAAATCACATTCAATATAATAATCACACTTACTAGTGGCCTCTCCTGATTCCTCAATCTCAATGACGTTAATTTATGTATCCCCTCTATTTATACACATCAATAAACCCCGCGAATCTCCATCCAGATTTAAAGTCACACTCACATAAACTGAACCCCATTAATTTAACCCTTATACACCCAACACAAAACCATGAGTTTACAGCACACCTCCCACTTGGCCTCCTGGTCGGATGACCCAAGGAGGCCACCAACCTAAATAACCTTGCTCTGGTGGTGGTGTCTGAGGAGGTTCCTTCTTCTTAGTTCTCCACTTCGGAATCTTCAACGACCCCGAAGCCAAGTTCCCCCGCAGAGGCACAGGTTTGACTTTTCTGTTGTCCAGGACTCTTGCCTCCCACTTTGCTTGACCCGCCGCTCGGCCTCTTCTAGTCAGCCATTTCTCTGCAGCTCGCCGGACCCATGCGACCACTCCACATAGCCTAGCCAGACTGCTGAACCTCTTTGATTTCACCAGGTTCAGAACAGCAATGCTCCGAAACTTCCCTTCCGGTCTTCTCTCTGTCAAGACTGAAGCTTCTTCCCTTTCGGAGGTTTCTGGGGATCCGCCAACCTTAACTAGGGACTCCTCAGCCTCTGCGTCCTTTCCACTGGTGTCGTCATGGATAGGGGTTTTGTTTGACTGGGCTCTGGTGAGTATTACCGAGAATGCCTTTCTTTGAAGCTTGCCCACACTCTCTCTGGCACCGGTTGCCACCTCCGCGGCCGACTTCATGGGCCATTCTTCTAGCGGCCTCACCAGGAACTCAGGTCCCCTCTGCCACTCTGAGCCCTCTCCCTGGTCTTCAGGAGTTGCTCCTCTTGTTACGATGTAAGTTTTTAATCGAGCTGCAAAGACCGCACCGCACACCTCAGCTTTGACTACGTCTCCCTTTTGGTCGAGAGGTGTTAGCTTTGACTCCACCAACCTGACCCCTGGCTCTGCTACTGCTCCAGCTTGGACCTGCTCCGCAGTCCTCTGCCTCCCACTTTGGCCTGACCTGACCCATGGTTTGAGGGAGGAGCCTCTGGCGCTCAGGATCTCTTCTAACCCCTCTGTGATTTCCTCCAGTCTCTTTGGGTCATTGTGGGACGTTAAGATATCGTCCACATAACTGTCCTCCTCCAGGACCCTGCGATCTTCCACCATGTGCGCGAAACTGGGCTGCTTCTCTGTTTTCAGGAAGGTGGCCTCCACTCCTCTTCTGTTGTTTGGAAGTGAGGCTGGGTCCTCTGTCCATGGGTAAGATGCGTCCCAGTGCGGAGTCAGGCAGTGTTCCTCTTTGGCCATGTAGGACAGCCCCTCTTTAATCACGTCCAGCTCCCTTTCTTCTGCCAGGGTCATTTCCTTTCCTCCTGGCTGGCATGTCCCGCAGCGACACCCACCACAACTGGGTTCACAGGCTGCACCGATGCTGTCCCACTTCCACCACTCGAGAACTTCTCTCCTTGTTGCAGTTGTATCACTGGCGGCACATATCAGACCCGGGCCGGGGGGCGGGGCCACATGACTGGGCCCTTTAAACCCAATAAAGCTTGACAAAAATATCGGGAGTCCGGGGTGGTAATCTGACGTTCGTGCGTAAAAAGTCGCTCAGTCAGTAAGATTACTATTTAAAACAATGTTTGAAAGAAAAGTAACTAAAGAAAAGGTGTAATATTTAAGATTTCGTTTCTATAAAGGGTATAGAAACGAAATATATATCAGAGATAATAATGATATAACATGACATAAAGTCCAACAAACCACAAGGACAACGAAAACATAGCCTAATAAAATGACAACATTTCTGACACACCATTCACCATGGACAGCCAGCAGCCACCATGAGAGCAGAGCAGTGTAAAATTGGCACGGCGGCCCATACATTCACGTACAAGTAGGCTACTGTACAAATTAAATTTGAAGTGTACTCACCACTACTTGAAGGGTACTCGGCGAGCCTTGCGCTCCGCGAACTCGTCCACAATCCGCTGTATGTCCAATTTCTTGGCTCGGTCACTTTCGATGGACAGCAAGGCCAGTCCACTCAGTCTCTCCTGTCCCATCGTGCTCCTCAAATAGCTTTTGATGAGTTTTAATTTGGAGAAAGAGCGCTCGGCGGTTGCCACGGTGACAGGAAGAGTCAGAAATAAGATGAAGACTGTGCAAACCTCACTGAATGTAGATGTTACTGCTGGGTTGTAAACAATGAGCATTTTTACCAGATCCGCGACAGATTTTAGTTTTTGTATTTGGTCCCTGAAACAGGTTCTGAAAGAAAGCAGCTGGCCAGGGAAGCTGGCGGCGATGTCCCGACTGTAGTGCTCTCTAAGACGCTGGGCAGCTTGGTGTAAATCCTCATCCTTTGCTTGCAGTAGTGTGTTGGGGTGAATTGCCTCAAACATGTTCACAGTTGCATTTAAGCTGGTGAATCTTTGGGACAGTTGCTGGATGATTATATCGAGACATGCATTGAAAACGGTCACCCGAAAGTTGCTCTCTGCGTCAGTGAGGCGGCTGTCTTCAGAGAGTTCATCTTATGCCCCTTTCACACCAGCGCTTTTTCAGCTCCGGCTCGGAGCTGGAGCCTGAAAAGCGCCGGTTTTTCCTGTTCACACCGCAACGGCGCCGGCTCTTAGCTCCGGAATCGGGTTCACTTCCAGCTCCAAAAAATTGTCGGTCTAGAGGCAAGAGCTTCGGAGCTAAGAGGTGGCGTCGCTTACGTCTCTCTTACGTCGAGGCGTGCAGGAAACTAAACCCTCCTCCCCTGAACATGGGTCGACTGTCATGCCTGCCTACAAGCAGTAGTGCTTATAAACACACTTTATAAAGTCAGGCAACACTAACCAGGCTTCGTGTGATTCTGTTTATTTGTACCTTACTTTGACCATCCGTTCACTGTTATTGATCATTGTGGAGAGACGTTTTGTTTTTGGCAGACGTTTTGTTTTGTATTATAGCAGCTATCGGATGGAATCAATACATGGGCTGCACAGGTTGTCGTGTCCGACTATCACAAGTAGAATCATAATAAAAATACGCCGGTAAAATGTGCCTGTAGAAAACGGTTTATGCCACAATAGGATAGCAATAGCAAGTAGTCAGTTTAGCTTCGGTTGCTATGCTAACATCACCCATTTTATACCAGAGAAACTTTCATAACAGCGTTGTGATACCAAACAGCGTCAATTCAGACTGACACACATTCACTTAGGCTAAGGGGAACTGGGGATATGTATCAGCTGCTTGTGTGAGTCGGACAGTGAATACTTTAGAGCGGCCGCAGCAGTGTGAGCTAACCGGGAGCTAACGGAGGAGAATAAACTCCCGTGGAAGAGCAGCCAACACTGCTGCGGTCGGTAAATGCTGCAGAAACACATTAATAAACAATGAACCACGGCACTCTGGAGCAAAGTATAAGGTTGGAGAAGTCGTTATTCAATTTAATCTGGCTTCGTGTGATTAAAAGCAACACGATCATCGACCCGACGCAGTTCCCCGTTGTTGTGAGCGCCGTAACGCCGTTGGGGAGCAAATCAGCTATGTAAACGGTGACGTCATGACGCAGTAGCGGCAGCACCAGTCGGGTGCTGGGCGGTGTGAACATATCGGGAGCAGAAAAGGGAAACCGGAGCTGAACCAGAAAAGCTCTAGCTCGGAGCTAGAAAGGGAAAAGCGCTGGTGTGAAAGCCGCAAAAGTGTCTCTTAACTTTCCTGGCCCTGGTTGTTTCAAACTGTGTTTGACTTCCCCATTTAGTAGCCAGGGCAAGAGTGGCGGACTTCGCCTCATCAAATTGTCCCCTATACTCCACCAAAACACTGATGGCATTTTGCAGTAGAGTAGATGCTTTGAGAATATCCGCGTCTTTTGCTTGCAGTCACTGTGAAACACAATTTATGCTTTCCAAAATCTTGGTCTGCATGTTGACCAAAAATAGAAAGCGAAATTTGCTTATGGCATTCTTGAGTGCACTTGCTTCATTGCGCTCATCCTTTTTGTCACTGGTAAGGGATATTTAGACGAGGGCTTTTATAATGTCTCCATATCTGTGCCTTAACGCAACAAGTGCATCATGGCGAGATGACCAGCGAGTGGGACATAAGCGTTTTAATGTGATAGTTCTGCTCTCTGGCGTCATTAACTCACTGAGCAATGCATCGTTTGATACTGTGACCAAAGAAGTTGTAGAGCGTCTCTACAGTGTCATAGAACTGCTTCACTCCAGGGACATTTTTAACAGAGTCGTTGAGTGCTAGGTTGAGATTATGAGCAGCGCAATGAACATAGTGGGCAAGGGGAACCTTCTCGGCTATTCTTGCTTGCCCGCCTGAATACACACCACTCATATTAGCCGCCCCATCATAGCCCTGTCCGCGACATTTAGACCGATCTAATCCGTTTTTCTCTTTAGAACCAAGGATTTTGTTTTCAAGCTCTGAAGCTGATGAACCTTCAGTCACTTCAAAACCCCAAAAGACTTAATTGATCTGTATATCTGTTGCAATATCCATGTCGTTCTTAACAACAGTTATGTAACGGTAAACCTGACTCAACTGGTCTATCTTTGACACATCTTGCGTTGTGTCCATGATGACGGAATAAAATGGGGCTTCGTTTATTTCATCAATGATGTCAGCTTTCACACGTTGAGTAAATAATCTCATCTTGAATCTGGTGACTGAGGTATTTCACTGACCCTTCTGGTCGGTTGATTAGCTCTTTCAAAACAGGGTCGTAGCGAGCCAATAATTATATTATTGACAAAAAGTTGCCAGCTTTTCCCTGACCTAGAACCTCTCGATGGCCCCTGAATGCCAAGTTGCTTGAAGCTAGAGTGAGAGTTACATTAACAATGCGCTCCACGACCTGTCTCCAAAATTGGGCGGCATTACGCACATTCCTCTCCATGTCAGCGTCTATTGTGCCGTTGGTTTTCCACTGCTCATATACTACGCATGCACCAAGGTGTATTTGAGTGGATTCATGCCTCTCAATTTTAGTAGAAAGATGTTTCCAGTCTTTTATTCTGTTTACCCATACATTGTTGTAGAACGGTGCCTTTCGGTTGGCAAAAAGCCAGCAAGGCTCACAGTAGCAGCAGTCCAATTTTGGGGAATAGCACATCCAGCTGCGTGGAAATTTCATCCCAACTTTAGTGGTGGAGGTGTAATAGTTTTCTGAAAAGCAACGGTTATCCTTGTCTTTGGGAAATGGACCTTTGGGTTTGCATGGGCCCATTTTAAGGATATATCTTTTGATATTGGCGTCCTCAATGTTTTCAAAATAGTTTGCCCGATCAGTCGGAAAACGCTCCAGAGGATAATTGCAGGACACATCATGATCCGTGGTCTGAGTTTCACCCGTAGGCGTAGCGTGAGGAGGAGACCTGTTGCTGCTTTAATTCCCAGTGTCCGGTACTTCTTCACCTTGCGGCGCAGCAGGTAAGGAGCCGGAGGGGGAGGGGTGCGGCTGGTCAAGCGTCAGGCCTGGCTCTCCTCTAGACGAGCAGCTAGCAGCTGCTGAGTCGTCCCTATTATCATCATCACTACAGCCGAGAGACAGAAAATGAAATAAGCTAGGCGACCGAGCTACATGAAAAAACAACAACCATAGGATATCAACATTTACCACAAACTCACATTTTCTTGTTGACTGTGTGTCCGTGATTGTAGCCTACCTGTAAATCTGGCTAACCCCCACTAACGTTGTTGGCGGGCTGGGGCTCGGGATGAAACACGGCTGGCAGTGGCAACAACTTCAGGTTCATCTCCCGCAGGAGGAGGAGTAGGGCGAAAAAAATATCCATCTAGCTTGGACAATTTGGCTTTTCCTTGGTCCTCCTTTTTATCTTTTTCTTTGCGTTTTGTAGCTCCACTTTTGTGTTTATAACTGCTCATGCTTAGGCAGTGCTCTGTTGAATGACAAGTGATTGATGATGACGTTGACGTTCATTTACGTATGATGTTGATGGACGGCTGTTCATGATGATTTTACCCAAAATACATTTGGAGACAATAGAAGGGATTCACTTGCAATTTTTCATGTTTTAATGTTAAATGTGAGTGTGAAAATAGCAGCACAAGTTCAACTCATATTATAGGCTACAATGCTTTACAGTATACCTAATATGACCACGAACGTCAGTGCACTCAGTGGCGCGAGGCAGCAGGGCCCGCCGGCGAATATCTCGGGGGCGGAGCCTGCTGCCTCTGCGACGGGCCCCCATTGGGTCCCGGGCCCGGGGAGCCCTGCCCCTACAGCCCCCCCTGAAGCCCCGCCCCTGAGTTGTATCCCTGGTCTCCGCCTTTACTTCCTGAGTCAGACTCTTGGTCTCTTCTTCCCTCAGGATCTCAGGACTAGGGGTGCACCGAATGGGAAATTCTTGGCCAAAACCGATACCGAAAATAGGAAACAGTTGGCCGAAAACCGAATGCCGAAAGGCCGAAAATGATTAATAGAAATATATATATATAATGTATACATTTTTTACCAATGTTGTTCAGCTACCTGATTATGGAAATAGACATGATTATGGCAAAACTTAACTTAAATAATAATCACTATTATGGGTCCATAAAACATTTATTCAGCACTTTTGAATGCATACAGTACATTTATATATGTCATGTATTATTGCTAAAAAACATTATATCGCAGTCTTAGTGTCGCCAACTCGTTTCTAATATGCAAAGACAACAAATGCGTCTATGATGTATTTTCGATCAGACGAGATCTCTCTCCCCCGTCTGTGTGCGAGGGGGTGGGGCAGTTTACACACACGCAGCTGCTACATGCAGCGGAGCACACTGCGGAGATGGCGGAGAGAACGCGCTCCGAGGTGTGGTTAAACTTTACCCGTCTCGATGTGGAGAATACTTGTTACCATAAGTGCAATAAGAGTTTAGCATGTAAGCACGAGCAATTTGTCTAAACATTTAGCAAAAGTGCACCGCATGCAGACGGAGGAATGTACCGGGTTCGACTGTCTTTCTAGCAGCTCTGTAGCTCCATCCACGAGTAACGTTTCCACGTCAGGTGTTATGTATGCTAGCAGCAACACACGGAGTTAACTACATGATACAAACATGGGTTAATGATTAGAGGTAACTGAGTTATTTAGTTTGTTAACATTTCAGCTATTCTGTTTACAGTCTGTCATCAGATTATTTAATACGATTTGTTAAAGGCTCAGGGCAATCTCGATGACAAAGGTCAATGTTCCCCCCCCCTGTGAGCCAGCCGAGAGCATGGTAGCCGCGTCTTTATTACGTAATCACAACAACACGTTAGGTTACCAACGTAAGCCTGTTCTGACATTCGGTGATATTTTTTCGGTGCTAAAACCCTTTCGGCCGAAAGGGCCTTTTTAACCATTTTCGGCCGATAATTTTCGGTGGCCGAATATTCGGTGCATCCCTACTCAGGACTCTCGACTACTTCTCTGTACTCCACAGCAGCTGTCCTCATCGAGCGAGCGAAGTGCGTCTAGGACTGGTGCATAGTGACTTTTATATTCTCGAACAGACTGGGATGTGCTCCGCCCACGGTTTTACCCAGTGGACCCTCCCATAAGACGAGGTCTCCAACTATCCTCAGTCTTTGTGGAGCGAGTATCCCCTCTCTGTGACTGATGAGAAGTTCAACATGGTCTGGTCTCTTCAGTTCGTCCGTTGCAACCTCTGGAAATAACCTCTTTAGCTGTTCAGGTCTGACGCTCCGATGCACTTTAGCAATCTCCTCTAGGCCATAACAAACCAGCTTGTGAACCCTCACAGTACCTTTGGGGCTCTTGACTCTTACTCGCAGGAGGTACCTCTTCCTTGACTGTCACGGTCATCCCTCCAACTCCATGCACGACCAGAGTGACTTCTTCTCTGCTCAGACCGAGCCTGTCAGCCGCTACGTGAGTGATGTAGTTGGTGTCTGATGCGAGGTCAATCAGAGCTCCGATCTTCTGCCCCGCGTTGGCAGTGACTTCCAACAGCATCATGATGACAGGGTGCTCGGTCAGTCTATTCTTTTCCAGAAGTCCACCTTCATCCTTCCTAGCGCTCCTTGTCACTGAAGTCTTGTTGTTGTTACTGAAAGCTTTCTTGATCTCCGCCGCCGCCTCTGGGGAACATTTGGACAAGGCTAGCTTTTGTTCTTCTGTTAGCTCCCTTACCCTCTCGCTGCCTTTTCCAAGTTTCCCCTTTGGTAGCTGTTCCCATTTTGGACAGAGCAGGTAGTGGTGGTCCGAGGAGGTCCCCTCTTGGCAGTCTTCCCTGTTGCAGAGGAACCTGTCTGTGCACTCTTCTACCACGTCGTGACATCCAAGACAAACGCGGCATGCTCCTACCTTCTTCACAGCAGTCTTTCTCTCAGCCAAGCCAAACCCCTTGAACTTCTTGCAGAAGAATAACTTGTTACTGTGTTTCTCCTCTCCACACACGATGCACTCACCTTCTGGAGTGTCCCTTCTGGTGGATTTTGTGTAGGCATACTTCCTCTCGAACCTGTTTTGCGGTTTGTCCATTTTCTCAGATGTCTCCGTTATTTTCAGTTGTTCCAAGATCTCTAGAATTTCTTCTTGCTCCTTCAGGAACTTCAGAAGCGTATTGAAATGGTTGACTGGGGTGACACCGTTTTCGGGCTTAGCCCTGAAGATGACCCACTCTCTCTTCACCTGGTCGGGCAGCTTGCTGTCTATAGACCTAATCATTGATTGGTTGATGGCTCCAGGGTTCCCGAGGTCTGTGAGGTCTGCCAAAGCCTTTTCCACAGCTTGGATGAGGTCTATCACCTTCCTCGGCTGATCTCCTTTCACAGCTGGTATCTTCTCCAGTTCTGCGACGATCTGCAGTGCAATCGTGGTCCTGTTTCCATAACGGTTCTCCAATACTCTGAACATGTCTTCGACTGTACTGTAGCTGGCCAACTTGACATCATTTTTTACCTTCTCTTTCATGCTGTCAGGCGACCCGGACGGTTCTCCCTGCTTCTGCAAAGATTCCCAGTCCTTTTTCCAGCGGTGAAACTCCCTCATACTGCCACTGAACTTGGGAAGGCTTACCGGCTTGAGTCGTATCTTTGATATCGCTCCCATCCGGTTGTCTCTGGGTTCTGTGCCTGCCTCTTCCACTGCTTTATGCTGCGCTTTCATGAGGTCAAACCGTGCTTCTTCTGCTGCAATCTGAGCCTCGGCCAATTTAGAGCGTTGGGCCTGGTCTTGCCTTAGCTGAACCAGGGCGAACTGGGCGCGCTCATCCTCTGCTGCAGTGCGTGCCAACTCTGCTGCGCCGCGTGCTTTGTTAAACTCAGCTTCCTTTTGACGCTTGAGTGCGTTTTTCCTTGTCTCCAGCTGGCGCACTATCTCTTCCACATCTTTTCTAGCAGTCACAGGAGCCCATCCCCTCCAGGTGCTGTGCACTTCCTTTAATTCCTTAATGTTTAAGCTGCTTTTCGTAATTCTCATAGCTCACCAGGTCAATTTGTGTCGCTTCTGCGTCCTCACATAGACCTTTTCAGCTTCCCCGATGGCAAATATCACTTTCTTTTCTCCATGCCTAGACCAAAGGTTTGCTTTAATCACTTCACTGACCTCTTCAAGCCTTTGGCTGGTCTCTCCATCCGTCTTTTCCACGTCTGCCCTCAGCTCTTCTGGTACTTGGTCCTCGTCACTATCAGCGTTCAGAATTATTTGCATCAGGTATTCACCGTTGGCCTCTGTGACTTTGGTGGCGGCCTTGTGGACTTCACTATATTCTTTCATCAACTCCTCCTCTAACATAGTGTTCACCGTCTTTGTTACTGAGTTCACCTTACGACCTAGAGCAACCTTCGCCCTCGTCCGCAGGGCTTTCAGATGCTTCCCTGTTTCCTCCCCCTTAATCATCTCTCTGAATTTAAGGTTGAGTTTAGCTCAATCTGTCTTATTCTGGCTAGCTAGCTGGATCGCTAGCTGGTTAGCTCCGTTTTCTAGCCAACAGCTTGCAGGGTTTCCCACACATAGACTATACTTGGGCGGGCCGCCCAGGTATATTAACGGCCGCCCAAGTATATTTCGCGACCCATTTAGTTTTTTTTTTTTTATTTATTAAATTTTTTTTAAAAAATTTTTTTTTGTATTCGTCCGTGACCACGACGCCATTTGCGATCGATTAACTTGTAGACAATGATCCCTCGCTCCCTTGCTCTGATCTCGCCTCCTTCTGGCCTGTTAAGTAGCCTGCCTCACACAGGGTGACTGGCTGTCCACATGATGTGGCCTGCCGACATGGCCACTGTCATACAGATCATAAATCAAAGCCCTTGATTGGTCTCTGTGTGTCATTCAAGCTCGGGATAACCTCAGCTCAGGTGAGGTAAAGGACTCTCTGAGTGTTTAGATAGTTAACTTAGTCTAAGTTCTCAGTGGGTCTCAAACGGTGTGGTCACCATTTATGTAAACACATATTTCCATTTGAGAGGGTAGTGATTGGTCTAATGGATAGTGAGGTGGGCTGAAGATCGGAAGGCTGTGAGTTCAAATCCCGCCAGGAACACCACCACTAGTGTGCCCTTGAGTAAGGCACTTAGCCCTTAGTTACTCCAGGGAGAATGTCCCTGTAATCGGTCATTATAAGTCGCTTTGGATAAAAGCGTCAGCTAAATGAAATGTAATGTGATTAGTAAAATATGCATGAATAAATAAATAAAAAGTTAACTAGGTGAAAAAAGGTAAGATACACTTATAAAACTTGTTGAGAGAAAACTAGTCTTTGCTGCTGCCTCAAAGAGGAGCAGGGGGGAGAGGAGGGAGACAGGAGAGGCTGATTCAGGAGCACAGACACACTCACAACTATAAATGAACCAAAACTAAATTAATAAACAAGTTTCAGTGTTTTTTTCATATTGGAAATGGTATGTTATTGGTTATGGCCTTGATTTTATGATTATTGAAATGTATACAGTTCTGTTAAATATAGGTGTTTCCATAGATCTAGTCTCTTTATTTCCCCCTCAAAATGCACCAGATTGATGCATTTAACTCCAAAATAAAAAATAAAATCTTACCGGGGGGGCATGCCCCTGGACCCCCCTAGAGGATTTGAGGTCGACCCCCACTAAAAATCACATGGATAGGTTCCTAAATACATTAATAAATACATTTATTTTTTTAAATAGTAACTCATTTCCATATGTTCATGTGTGGGTAGTAGATTTAAACTATAGGGCTATCATTATGGACCCTGCCTGTACCTGTACCTGTTCGCTCTGCCATCGCGTGAAGGGTCTGCTAACAAACGACCAACAGAAAGGTTAATGTTGTTGCACGTCACCTCAACCCCCCCCCCCCCCCCCCCCCCCCCCCGCTACCACCACCCCCCAAAGTATATTTCAGATCTGTGGGAAACACTGGCAGTTAATGGACCAGCACCAGAGGCATTCCCATACACACAGGCGTTGGAGCTGTTCTTCATGAAATCCCAGAAGGATGAAGTGCTCTGACAAACAGTGCCATCTTTGCAATGAAAAGTCAATAAATAATGTTGTTTTAAAAAAAAAAGATGTCGCGCACTACCCCAACCCCTTGCCACCACCCGCCCAAGTATATTTCATATCTGTGGGAAACACTGGCTTGGTGCCTTTGGCTTAGCTAGCTTCGTTTGCTAACCAATAGCTTGGTGGACTTTGATAGCTAGCTTGGGTTTGTATGCTAGCTAGTTATTTTCTTCTTGCTTATTTTCTGGAAACCTTCAGTCTGCTTCGTTTTTGCTATGCTAACACTAGCTTCTTTGGCTAGATAGAGCCGAAATATTGTCCGTGTTACTCACGTGATCCGACCACGTTAGCTCCGCTAGCTTTGCTAGCCTCGGGCCTTCCCTTTCCGCCGACCGTTGTGACCACGGGGTTTCCTTGTCGTCCGGTTGTCAGCTCGACTCGCGGACCGGCGCTCCTCGGTGCTTCGCGAGCTCCGGTAGCTTCGCTAGCTACGCTCCGCTAGCTTCGACGGTCCTTGCTAGCTTTGCTAGCCTCGGGCCTTCACTTCCCGCCGCTCGTTGCGACCACGGGCTTTCCTGCTCGTTTGGACCGTCGCGAGCTCCGGTAGCTTCACTAGCTTCGTTAGCTCCTCTAGCTTCGACGGTCCTAGCTAGCTTTGCTAGCCTCGGGCCTTCACTTCTTGCGACCACGGGCTTTCCTGCTCGTTCGGTCGTGAGCTCCGGTAGCTTCGCTAGCTTCGTTAGCTCCTCTAGCTTCGACGGTCCTAGCTAGCTTTGCTAGCCTCGGGCCTTCACTTCCCGCCGCTCGTTGCGACCACGGGCTTTCCTGCTCATTCCGTCGTGAGCTCCGGTAGCTTCGTTAGCTCCTCTAGCTTTGACGGTCCTTGCTAGCTTTGCTAGCCTCGGGCCTTCACTTCCCGCCGCTCGTTGCGACCACGGGCTTTCCTGCTCATCCGGTCGACTGGAGTCTACCTTCCTAGCTGTCTCTCGCCATCGGTTGAAAACGTTATCCCTCCCGATGCGTTAGTTAACAACTGTAGCCTACTGTCTATCTCCCGACAGTATGGGTGGAATCAAGATGGACGGAAACAACTCCTAGTTTTGATGATTTAATCAAATCTAAATAGGTTGTTAACCTTAGAAGAAAAAGGACAACAACAATACACCAATTAGGATCACACATATCCCATACACATTAAATCACATTCAATATAATAATCACACTTACTAGTGGCCTCTCCTGATTCCTCAATCTCAATGACGTTAATTTATGTATCCCCTCTATTTATACACAAATAAACCCTGCGAATCTCCATCCAGATTTAAAGTCACACTCACATAAACTGAACCCCATTAATTTAACCCTTATACACCCAACACAAACCCATTTTTAGTTTACAGCACAAACACTGAACGGACATTTACATATACCCTTTATATGTGTATAAACCAGAATTAATGGAGAGGAAACTAAAACAATATTTTAACTGAAAACATTTAAATCAACTTCACGTCACTCTGAAACATAACAATCTATTTTGCAACAGTGGGCGTTTAGCTTTTCCTAAGTAGACATAAGTTCTGATTCCATTATTTATTATGACACTTTAGTAAGCATATTGTTTATGTCACAAAGTACAGATCATTATGTCTTTCAGAGCAAAAAATAGTTGAAAATGGTATGTCCTCGTTGCACCAACCATAGCTTACAGTTTAAGGTCTGGTGCAACCTGAAACACTTGGATCTTATAAGATGCTCTGGACAAATTCAACACATTTCAAAGGGGGGGTTTATTGGTCACAAGTGAAAAAAGGCCAGTTGTACTGTGTACTGCAAGTGAGCTGCATTATTCTAGTCACAAACCACCAAAAATCAATAGCAACAAATCTGAGCTATCAAAGCATGTGCCCAAGGGGCCTTAATCACAATATATATCATGGACTGATAAGCAGATGAAGAGTAAATAAGGTCAAATGTCTGGCTGTCTTATTTGAATTTCTTATAAATCGTTGTCGTGTTAAAAAGGTTCCTCATCTAATCAAAAGCAGAATATATTAATATAGTGGTTGTTATTGGCATGACTGGAATACATTTGAGACTTTTATTTGTTATTCATAGGAGGGAAATGTATTCATTCACAGCACAATTTAAATACAACTGATTAATGTGATCACCCACTGTGAAGATACTGCAGATACTGTATGCCATCTACATTTGTAAGGCACTGTGTATATCTTGAAAAATGTACTGTTCTTAAATAATACCATTATCTTCCACAGAAATAACACCATTTATATTGGTTTTCTGTCTACTTAACATATTTCTAAATATGCACCCTTATTAAAAGGTTTTAGAACATTTAATTAGAAACAGATTTTGTATGCAAAACAAGAAAACAAAATGTTAAAGCACCTAACTATGAATGTGTTGGATTTAGCTCAGAGCAAGGGCTGCACACTGGAGTATATTTAAAAATATATTAAAATGTTTTATTAAAGTTGGGGTAGGTAATTTTGGAGAAACCAGCTCGAGTGCGCTAGAATTTGAAAATACACAGCCGGAAAAAATCTGCCACTTCCTCACAGAGCCCCTCCTCCAACACACACGAACGTGCTCATGACCAATGAGGGCACGAGATAAGTTTGTGCATGGAAGGCTGACAGGCAGGTAGGCCATCCAGTTATTTTAGCCGGGCCGGCTAAAATGATTGGTCGTGCTTTTTACAGTACTACGGCTTCCACAGATGAAATTACGTTATGGATTTTTTTGTCAAAGCACTTAAGATATTCATTGCTATAGGGATGTTAAGAGCATTCCGTGGAATATAACAAAAAGTGTATCTCGAGCCGGTTTCTCAAACTTACCTACCCCACCTTTAAGCTTGAATAAGATACTGAGAGCAAACATGTAACCCGAGTGACCTTTTGTTACTTTGTGAATCAGTTAAAGAAACTCAGCATGTGATCACATTTTCACCGCTTGAACTTTATTTGCAACACCATTTCAGCAGGAAATGTACAAACCTACAAATAATCGGAATTGTGTTGTGTTAGTACTTGGGTCATTTTTCATGAAGGCACTCATGACTACCTACTTGTTACTTATCCCCTGTTATTCAAAGAAAAGAGCTTGAAAAAAGGGAGGTTTGTACAGAGCGCTGCACAATATACTAGCACACATAGTTCCAATTTGTAAAAATGGTTCAGCAGATGAAACTAAAACTATCTGGATAAGATAATAAGTGTAAATGAGAAAATGTGTTTTATGCAATTTTAACAAATATGTCAACTTATCTATAGGTCGGAGGGGCAATAATAAGTTTGAAAAATAAAATCCCCCAAAACACACCCCCATAAAACCAGATTGTAGAGCAATTATGTTCTATGGGGGTGTGTTACAGAAGACCATTTGAATTTGTGTGCAAAGCCCTCTTTTTGTTGTTGTTGCCTGCTTGCCAGTGATGTGTGATCTTCACATGTATTTTTTGCGGTCAAGAAAACTGCCCCGAGGCCAAGCTGTATTTTGGTCTACGGTCTACTGTTGGAGGAGAAGTTATTATCTCTTCCCAGCCTATCATCAATTCAAATCTGTATGATCTTTGCAAAATGGCCGCTGTTGAAGAAAGCGATTGGAAATGGGGAAATATGACATTGATGTATTCGATCAATACAAAATTCTAACTAAACTCAAGGTGTGCTGGAAATATCATCTATACATTACCAGACATGCAGGAGTTTAAAACCACTATAACATTTACATTTTTCAAATTATGTTTTTTAATTAAGATTGGGAATTGTATGGTGAGTAATACATAGTATAACTTAAGAAAAAATAAGCCAGTGGCCCTTTTTTATCCTGTTATCTTTTAGTCATTAGGTCCTGCAGACTTAGTTTGTCAATCTTTCCATAATAAGCCCTGTTTTAAAGATTGGTGGTTGTGTTCAGGCAAAACATCTGCAGTTATTGATCCACCAGGCTCTAATGCCCTTCTGATCCATATCACTGTAAGGCCTTATCAGTGACATACAGGGATTTTCTGTGAACTGCATAGTCTCCACTCACGTTTCATGCCTGAAAGGATACTAAAATATGCAACTTTTCTTTAAAGCATTAGCACAGATTAACACAATATTACATGACATTGAACATCAACATCACATACAGTATTTTCTATGAATGAAATTTCCCTCAGGGGACTTGTGGTATAGCTCAGCTCTTTGTAGATTACAGTTCTTTGAAAGCATAACCTGATGGAGATAAAGACATTGAGTTGATTTGTGCTCAAAGTGACTACATTGCTAAGAGGGACTATGATATGCGCTATGAAGTAGCCATTCTAAGGATTGTCTAAAGCAGGAAGCTACTCTTGGTCAATACTCATCACATTTACTTATTAAGAAAAATATATTTTGAATTTGGGACAGGACTCTATTACAATGTAACATCATTGTGGTCAGATTCTTCATCTTCTATGTTCCTCAGTCTTTGGATGCTCACGATGCAGCCACTACGTGAGGATGTCACCCCTCGTATCCCCTCTTTATATTCCTGTTTTTAAGCCCCCTTCTTCATTCTCTTTCCATCTCGTCTCCCCTATCACAGCAGAAATCCTACCATTGATTAGCTCGAGAATTTCATTACGATTGTATTGCCAAAACCTGAATCCACCTCATAAGATACAGAGAAAGATTACGGAAGCCTTTAAACATCTCTCCAACCTAATGACCCCTTTATAATGAAGTTTATATGGAAAAAAAGACTTCTGAGAAGATTCACGACATATACAAATACGCCAAAGAAAAAAGGAAGTATAATATCTTACTGGTGGCATTTAAGAGAATGCAAAACTAGATTTATGTGTCATGTTAATGCTTTCATTTGTACTCATATAAATGCGAGAAGACATTTGTATACAATTTTGTTTAGTTTTCATAGTATTTCCAATTATTTTATTACTTTATTCTATTGTTCGCTTTGACCAAAAGCATCATGGCAGTGTGAGGAATATATAGTTTTTGAGCGTGGTCTAGTGTAAACAAAACAGGGTTGATATCTGAATTTCAAATGTAACCCTTCCAATCGTTTGTGGGTGGATAGAGGACACTGCCACAGACGCGGTATGATTTTTGTTATGACCCTATGGAAAATATGTCTATTAAACCTGCACTACTTCAAATGTCCAGCATAGAGAGCGGAAATACTTGAGAAAGGATAGCCTTCCATTTTCAAAGAGGTGGACTTTTCTATTTTACGAAATAAGGAGAATTTTTCAAAAAAGCTTCATATTGCTTCTCCGAACACAAATAAAACACATGGTATATTTGTTGTTATTCAATGCATACAAGCACATTTAAATCAACTCTGTGCCAATTTAATATACTTACATATTTCTAGTTAAGTGAAAACAAAACTGTACAATATGAGCTGACAATGTTTTCACATTTTTATGAAAAAAAACCTAAGGTTTCTGTGTTCATGTTTTTTGCAAGTTGCCTGGGTAAATGTCAACAAGCAACCTCCAGACTGCCAGACATCTGTCAGTCATATTAACTGTTGAAATAACTATTATTATCTGAGAGAGTGTTTGCAGCCAAATTAAAACATTATTAAATAAGAGGTTGCCACTGCCTTTTCAAATAAGTCCCATACAGTATGAGAGTATAGCTAAAATGAGCATTATTTTCTGATCTGCAACCACCATGGTTGGAGTCTGGTTGAATTCTTGGACAACAAAACTAACCATTTAGTGTTTGGTAGTGATCGTGGACACGGTGAAAATAATGCTTGTGTTGACTGGTCAAATGCTTTAGATCACATACAATTTAGACAGTTTAATACATCAAGAAGATGTCGATTAGTTTAAGCATTTGAAAAATAACCTATGCCAAGGAAAGGTTCCAGCAGCCACTTGTGGTACTCTACCTTAAGGCACGTTGGCAATGGCATCCCGTTTTGGACATAACTGTGGCCACATGGCTTGCTGCCTTCTGTTGAAATCCAGGATAATCATAACGTATGCCTTCCATTGCATTAAAGATAAAGATGTCATTGGTTGATTTGTATCACTTTCACATTATTGGTTCGGCTCAGATCCCATCATTTATAGTATTAAAATCTTTCAAATAAAAACATTAACTTTGAGTAAACACAAAAGTTGCATTCATCTTACACTTTTTTATTTTAGTTCACTTGTTAATGTTGTTGTTCCTGCACATTTTTGTCTCAATAGAAACATTTTTATTACTTGAATTAAATTAATTTCATCACTGTCCTGCACTAGAAACATCACATTGTAGGCCAACATTTTTACAGTTTATGTTCCTTTCTTATAAGGCCA